CAGTTCCCCATACTGTCCACCATGTATCCATTCCAGCTCTTCGTAGGTAGATCTAGCTAATTTTTTGCTGATACTCTTCCCATCCAAAACAACTTTACCTCTCGGTGTAATGGTTCTCCAGGTCCTTGAAGGATAGTGTTCTTTGATGAGCGTTGTTAAGTATTGGATTCCCATATCTATGTCGTCACTCTCAGCTGGCAGCTGGCCAGCTGCAGCTTCATTCAGATCATGTCATCATGTCAGCTCATCTCATAGCTCAGCAGCTCAGCTCAGCAATCAGCTAGCCCTTCCCTAAAATGGGCGTGGAAAAAGTTCTGTAATTTTGAATTGTGCCTCTAATTTTAAATGGGTTAACCGTTACTAGGCTAAAATTTTAGACGCACTAAATCTATTTTTAGTACGAACTAAGTTACTAACGTCTTTCTCACTTTCTCTCTCCATTCTAATCTTGAGTCTCGACTCTCGACCTTGTAAAGAAATGAATCGACTGAGGACTACTCTGCTGGGTTCTGGGGTCAGGTGGATCAGGGCTTCCTCAACAACCAGTGGAAATTATCATAACGATTTACGCCCGCCTGATTTCAGTGAATACAGGAAAGAAAGCACAACTGATCCTAAATTACCAGCAAATGACACTATTTTGAGCAGAAAAGCCTTCACCTACCTTGTCCTTGGGTCTGGAGGGGTTGCCACTGCCTACTTTGGAAAAAATGCTGTCCGTGGCCTCCTTGCTACCAAGAACCCTTCAGCAGATGTACTGGCCTTGGCAAAGATAGAAATTGACATTGCCTCCATCCCAGAGGGAAAGAACGTTGTGTTCAAGTGGAGAGGGAAGCCTCTGTTTGTTCGCCACAGGACACAGCAAGAGATTGAAGATGTACGAAATGTTGACGTAGGATCACTTCGTCACCCACAGCACGATGACGAGAGAGTAGTGAAGCCAGAGTGGCTCGTGGTAATAGGGAGCTGTACTCATCTTGGTTGTGTACCTGTGGCCAACGAAGGAGATTTCGGTGGGTATTTCTGTCCATGTCACGGCTCTCATTATGATGCATCAGGTCGTATTCGTAAAGGACCAGCACCCGAAAACCTTGCCGTACCTGAGTATGTGTTTAATGGTGACCAATTAGTTGTGGGATGAAGAGACTTACCGACTATTGTATAAATATTACATATAGTGTTGTTTGATTACTAATAGGTACAATGTATTTGGTGGTAACTTAGTAACCGATTTCATGTCACATCCAAAGGGCTGATTTATTTATTATTATTATTAAAAATAATTATGGTATTTTGTGTTAACGAATGCCTCCTTATTTGGAATAGCTTTGATTGATGTGGATGGCCACCATTTTTATTATGACGTCATGTTTGTTTACTGCTAGATCACGTGAGTTGTTCCTAGGCCACACCCTTTAGGTGCAGTTTGTAACATGGCTACCGGGGCTCAAGTGGTCTTTAGAAGACTCTGCAAATTGTATTCTTCGTCTTCAACTAAAGTAAAGTATCCTTCGTAGCTTATTTTTAATTAATATCATTATTTATAGGGGACGACAGCCTCTTTTAAAATGGTAAACACACATTGTTACATAACATGAATTACACATTAATTATGTAATTTTAGTCTTCGAGGTATTTCGGTACACTTGCAGCAGCTGCCTTTGGTTCTGGTGTAGTTTTAACGTCATTGGTAGCCAGTGATGATGCAGTTCATCCACCAAAGTACCCATGGGATCACAAAGGAGTGTTCTCTGCTCTTGACCATAGAAGGTATTTTAAAATTTGTTTTTGCATTTTCTTATTTTTAATTATTTCGTAGCATACGTCGTGGGTATCAGGTTTATAAAGAAGTGTGTTCAGCTTGTCACAGTATGCAGTACGTTGCTTTTAGACATTTAGTGGGTGTGTCACACACTGAAGAAGAGGCACGGGCTCTTGCTGAAGAGGTTTGTATTGTCTCTGTTTTATACTACTAATAGTCCTTTTCATTTGGTTTCTGTAACTATTATCTAGTAATTCTTTTAGTTTGTAACTATTGTAATGAGGGTTTCCCACAAAGCATGCTAAGTGAGCTGAAAAGTGTGCTTCATGAGCTGACATAACATAAGAACATGTATGCATATCAGAAAAAATTATTAAAATGGTGAATTCTCTCGGAGCCATTTTTACGAAATTTGGTGAAATACCAAAGGCCTTTGATCTTTGGCTATATTTTTGAATAATTTTAAGAATTCAACTTTGATTGGAATCAGTTGAAACTTTGTACGCAACATAAGAACATGTGTACATGTATGTATCGAAAATATAATAAAAATTCTATTTTTGCCATGTATGATGTTTTTATATCTTACTCTCTCTCAGTATGAGTATCCAGGTGATATTGATGAGGAGGGTAATCCCACCACACGTCAGGGGAAACTCAGTGATTATTTCCCTAATCCTTATCCGAATGAAGAGGCAGCCAGAGCAGCTAATAATGGTAACCTCCTACATGTATTGTATTTTCATCTCAAAATATCTGCCATAGTTAGAGCCCAAAATTTTATGTGAATGGCCAGCAAAAGCTCCTTTAATTTCTGATTTATTGTTTTGAGTAGGATCAAAATACTTTGATCTCTAAATTTATCAAAATTCGCAAAGTTAGCATAAATTTTTGGCCACAAAAATTTCTAGTTACATGTACATGTACATGTATACATGTACATGTATATTGTGTAACTTTATCATGCAAACAGGAAAATTCATTGAAACATTCATTGCCATTGACAAAAATGCCATGATACCATTTTTCAAAAATTATGTTTTAAGACTACATGTAGTTTACAATATGATGTTAAGCCAATGTACCATCAATTTTTAATCAAAAGCATGGGCAATTTGACCTTTTGATGCATGCTTTTCACTAGAATAGAACCAGATTCTATTCCTGTGTCTATGTAACATCAGGACTTGCATAATATTGTAAACCAGCCTTTAGTGTCACAAGCTACATTTGAAAGTACATGTGTATGTGTGTATCTGTTCCTGATATTAGGTGCCCTTCCTCCTGATCTAACTCTTATTGTTCTTGCTCGTCATGGAGAAGAGGATTATATATTCTCTTTATTAACCGGCTATTATGATCCTCCTGCTGGTGTTGAAGTAAGAGAAGGTCTGGCATATAATCCTTATTTCCCTGGTGGAGCAATTGGAATGCCACAACAATTGTATGATGGAGGAATAGAGTATGAAGATGGTAAGATGAACTCTCTCTCTCTCTCTCCCTCCTTCCCTTCCTTCCTTCCTTCCTGCCTTCTCTGCATGTGTAGCTCATTCCCTCGCTTTCTCTAGGTACTCCTGCCACTGTTAGTCAAATGGCAAAGGATGTTACTACCTTCCTACGCTGGTCAGCAGGTATTTAATTAATATTATACTGTGAGAGTGATATTGTATTATTTTATAGATCCTAAGCATGATGAAAGGAAAAGGATGGGAATGAAGGTAATTAATTGATTTCTTTGATTACTGAACCATCCATTATCCTTCTCTCCCTCTCTCTCTCAGGGTGTGATAATATTGTCACTATTAGTTGGTATCACTTTATATTGGAAGAGACAGAAATGGTCTTTACTGAAGTCAAGGAAAATATTATACTATGAGAGACCTTAACTGAGACTGTCAGTCCATGCTAGCCTAAGAGTCAAAGACAATAGATACAATGTACTAGTTGTTGTTGTTGTTATTATTATTATTATTATTATTATTATTATTATTACTTTGTGGCATAATGTGTAGTAAGTAATTAGATTCCAGGAAGTCAGGGTTTGCCCCTTCAGAAATACTGCATAACTACTAATGCATGACCACATTTGAAATTAGCAAACCTCAAACACTTTCAGTTTAGTATAAAATGGCAGGAAAAGCAGGTATTATGATTAGTGTGTACTGTCTACTGTAGCTACATGTGTACTTATTGTTACCTCTTGTTAATTATAGAATATGAACCAGTGAAGAGGAGCAACCATTCTACAGTAAGAGTAGGAGATTACTTATATATGTGGGGTGGGCTCCAGCCTGGTCTCCCTGAAGTGCACAATAATGATAAGAAGAAAGCACTGTCATCATTAATGGAGGTATACCATTTACCTACTGGTAGATGGGAGCAGAAACCCACCACTGGTAATCCTCCACTGGGTATCTGGGGCTATGCATCTGCTGCCATTGGAAATGAGATATTTTATTTTGGTGGAGTGTGTAATCATGATAGCTGTTATCATAATAGCCTGTACAGTTTTAATGTTGATACATTCACCTGGAGGGAACTCTCACCTACTACTCCTCATCATGGACCAATGATGAAAGGCTACTGTGGCATGGTAGCATTTCAACTGAACGGTGAAGACTATCTTGCAGTAATTGGAGGACACGGACCATCTTCTAACAATGCACCCACACAACCTAATGCTCAGTATGACAGTGGAAGATATGGTACCTGGCCTTAAACGAACTAATGAGATTCATTATTATAAACTATCATCTGGTGAGTATAGTAATTTAGTTTATCACTAGTCTGGGCCAGCCCAGACTATCACCTTACATGATATCTAGACTATCATGTTGTGTTAT